CATTTTCTGACCTCTATGATCTAAAAGGAATCAAATCCAGTTGTTTCGTCGTTAACAAAAGATTTGCGGGGCTGAGTAAACGTTTTCCGAGATTAACTACAGATAAACCCCTCAACGGCATTCCATACTACCGATGTGGGACTAACGAATCGTAACATTCCACCACGCTCCGCAGTCCCAGTGCTCACACAGGCTGGCTTTGTACTAATCCCCTGATCCCGGCCGAACACTGCAATACCAACGTCACTACCTGCGTCGCACGATTGCAACCGGGAGACATAGTGTAGGCTCTGATAGCATCTGTTATTTGCTTAGCAGAACTCACCCCAAAAACTAGCTGTTAGAGGGAGGGAACCCAGACACAGAGAAAATATTGAGGACTTTACGAATGAAATAATTTGTATCGAAAATCACATTACGCTTCAGAAAATCAACAGACCATGAAAAAATGTAAAGATTAAAATTTTCTAAAATAAAACAAGGATTCGAGTATCGTCGTGAAAATCGTAAGATTGATATCAGACGTGCAACTGATAACCGAAACCACAGAAAGAGAGAAAGCGAATAGAAATGCAGATAAGAGATTAACCTGCTGCGTAGCCGGAGGTTGGAATACGTTAGGGTTGGAAAGAACGAGGCCACGGAGATCGCCGGCATCTTGATGCTTGGTCTGGTCTCTCTCACTTTCTCTTGCTTCTTGTTTGTTGCAATATGCTTATTTCTTCTCTCGATCGAGGCTTCCTATAGATGCGGCAGCCGGTCCAGCGAGAGGTCCTAGTCCATTATGGTAAAATTGCAATATCCGCCAATAATAACAGCGGGAAAAGGCACCTTGAATCCATAAACAATTACAAATAAATAGAAGTTGATAAAAACGTCTGCCGTACCTTCAGAATCCTTCGTCGAATATGCCGAGGAAGTGAACGATTACATGGGTGTTTGGTATCGTCGTCACTCGGAATTTCCCACTCTCTACCCGCCGTTTTGGTATTCTGTCGTTCCCTTTAACCGCCACATGGACGATTGTGCTTGAGTCATTAATGACCATGTGGCCGTTTATTTGAAATAAATAAATAAATTCCATTGCCGCCCGGATTGGGGATTAAGGGAGGGAATCCGGATTTCCTCCACATTTTCATACACATCTATCATAACGTGCCTAGGGTCACTTACTTACTTCTTAACTATTATCTTTTAATAGAAATATTTTAAGTTTAAGAGAAAAATGGTTGTTCCTTTACTTTTATCTCTTAAAGTGTAATCATACAAATTTTTATTTTCTAATGATACCTCCAAAAAGACAAACAAAAACTCTAATATATAGGGTTAAAATAGATATTTTATAATTTACAGAATTCAACGAACAAGCCCTTAAAGTGCAATTATACAATTTTTTGTTTTCCAATGATACTTTAAAAAAGATAAGCAAAAACTCTCATATATGGGGTCAAAATGAATATTTGATCATTTTCAAAATTTAGAACAACATTCTCTGCATCCAGAGTTCAGAGGAAATGAGAGTTCACTAGTACCAATATACCTCTTAATGCAATTATTGCACTTTCAGATGCTGAACTTTAGAACAAATGAACAAGCCCTTACACATGCGAATTAATTAATAGATGCTGGGAGAATTTTTGTTTCTTTGCTTTTTATTTTTTAAATATTAAAAACATTAAAACATAAAAGAGAAAAAACTTTTTCTCCTTCACTAAGGGATATGAGGACGATTTCTCTGAGCTCTCTTTCTACAATAGAGGAGAAACAAAGTAAATTTGTTTCTAATATTGATGGAGGGCCAACTCACCAACCAGGCGATAGCTCATAGTTAGAGAGGCACATGCTTCGGATAGTGCCATCTAGCGAAAATCATGCAAAGGATAATAGGATGACTCCATGCATTGGATAACACTGAGAGATGGTGGCTATCAGACGGTGGATATCAAGGCAGCCTGAGGAAGACTTCGAAGATGTCTAGAAGTCCAGATGTTTTAGTTGTTTTTCTTTTACAATTTTAACTCTCCTAGTTATTCTACAAATCTACCAGTTGTATTATAAATACTGTTGTTCTGAGTTAATAGAAGACACACAAGAGTTTTCTTTAGCAATTCTCTCTACTAAGGCTCTACACCTAGCTCTTTACGTGAGGCTTCAAGTTCAAAGCCGATTCGATCGTCCGGGTGCTTGCATAGTCAGCCCGATCGAGTGCGTCACGCTGCGTCAGGTGGTATCAGAGCGGAAGTTCACCCAGTCAAATGGCCAACCAAGACGGTAGCAGTCGCAACCAACCCCGTGACGGAGATCAAGGGTTACAAGCTGTTTGGAGAGCAATCGAAGAGCAGCGCATAGCCACGCGTAACATTGAGCAGCAGTTGGCAGAGATCGCTGGACAACTGCGGACTTTGTTACGGGAGGATGTTCCAAGGAACCGAGATAACCCGTACCCAACCGGAGGAGACGACCACGATAGACCACTCATCGATCCTACACCCTGGAATCCTGTTCTTGGTGATGATAGCGACGATGAACTAGAACTCGGCGTTGCTCCAGTTATTCCCGGTGACGGCATAAACGGTAGGAATTGGCGAAATCCCGGCAATTTTAATCACCGTCGAAATAATGATGAGTTTAAACTCAAGGTGGATATTCCTACTTTTAGTGGAGATCTGGATATAGAGGGCCTTATGGATTGGATTACCGAGGTCGACCGTTTCTTCGAGTACATGGAGATCCCAGAAGAAAGAATGGTGAAATTAGTAGCTTTTTGACTGAAGGGAGGAGCATCTGTCTGGTGGGAATGAATGAGGGAGACTCGGATCAGAGAAAGAAGAGGTCCAGTTCGAACATGGAGGCATATGAAGCAATTAATAAGAGGTAGATTTTTACCCCCTGATTATGAGCAATATATGTTTAAGTCATATCAATGGTGTGCGCAGGGAACAAGAAGCGTAAACGAATATACCTCAGAATTTCTGAGGTATCAGAAAGTGACAATCAACAGGCAACCCATTATTTGAGTGGTTTGAGACCCGCTATCAGAGACAAGATTGGCGTCCAGATGATTCTAAGTGTGCAGGAAGCAAGGAACTTAGCTTTGAAGGCTGAGTTAATGTTCCAAGAAAGGACCCGAGCTGATAACTATCGACGGTACAGTGGGAGCGACAACAGGCCGGCAGTAGTCGACAAGAGCAAACTAGCCCCAGGAGTACAACCCTCCCACCCGCCGAATGTAGCTAATACCAGTAAGGCCGCCACGGGAGGAAACACTCGAGGTAATACTATAAACCCTCCTAAAGCCGTTAATCCCTATGCAAAACCTGCTCCTTTTAAATTCTTCAAGTGCAATGAAGTTGGGCATAGGTCTAGTGACTGTCTTAGAAGAAAGGCAGTTAACATGGTAGAGAGAGAGGAGGACGAAAAGGGTGACGATGAAGTATATTGTGGACCCGATGGAGAAGACGAAGAAGGTACCTATGATCATGAAGGGTACACGTGTGTTGTGAGGAAGCTAATGCTATCTTAGAGAAGCAAAGATACCACACAATGACATCGGTTGTTTCGCACTAGGTGTATTGTACAGGGTAAATTATTTGATTTAATTATTGATAGTGGCAGTCAATAAAATATTATTTGCAGGGATGTGGTACAGAAACTGCAACTACTTCCTGAGAAGCACCCAAACCCGTACATAATTGAGTGGATCAAGGAAGTCGGGGGCGTACGTGTGGAGGAACGCTGCAAGGTTCCATTTTCTATTGGTAAGTACACTGATGAGGTATATCGTTATATTGTGGACATGGATGCTTGCCATGTTTTGCTTGGTAGGCCTTGGCAGTTCGATGCAGATGCCAAACACCTGGGCAGGAAGAATACATACCAGCTCGAGAAAGAGGGTGTACGCTATACCTTATTACCCATGGTAGAAAAGAACCAACACAAGGCTCCAAAGGCAGAAGAGAGAAATTTCCTTACCATAACACATCCCCATTCTGAGTTTGTAAAAGAATGTAACGATACCCGCAAGGTCCACTTGCTGGTGGTAAAGGGAGAGAGCCTGAATGAGTCACTGGAGGGGAACAAAATCCCAATGGAAGTACAAGGTCTACTCGATGAGTTCCATGATGTGGTTCCTGATGAGTTACCTAATGAGCTCCCACCCATGCGAGATATCGAACATCATATTGACTTTGTCCCTGGTGCTAGCCTACCTAATCTACCACACTACAGGATGAGTCCTAAAGAGAATGAGATCTTACGGGAGAAGGTAGAAGAATTATTGAGAAAGAGGCATATCCAAGTCAGCATGAGTCCTTGTGCAGTACCAGCATTATTAACACCCAAGAAAGATGGGAGTTGGAGGATGTGTGTCGACAGCAGAGCAATTAACAAGATCACTATTGGCTACAAGTTTCCCATTCCCAGGCTGGACAACATGCTGGATCAACTTGATGGGGCTGTGGTCTTTTCCAAAATTGATCTCAGGAGCGGTTACCATCAGATCAGGATCCGTCCCGGAGACGAATGGAAAACAACTTTCAAGACTAGAGATGGATTGTTCGAATGGTTAGTCATGCCTTTTGGACTAACTAACGCACCCAGCACCTTCATGAGGCTAATGAATCAGGTACTACGCCCTTTTATTGGTAAATTTGTTGTGGTATATTTTGATGATATCTTGATTTACAGCAAATCTATCACTGAGCACCTAGGACATATCAGGGAGGTATTGAGTGCATTAAGGGAGAACAAATTATATGCTAATTTAAGGAAGTGCACTTTTATGAGCGATAATTTGTTATTCTTGGGGTTCATTATAAGTAAAGACGGCATTAAAGTGAACGAGGAAAAAGTGAGAGCCATTAGAGAGTGGCCGACCCCAATAAACGTCACGGACGTAAGACGTTTCCATGGGTTAGCAACTTTCTACACGCGGTTTATCAAACACTTTAGTAGTATCGTATCTTCCATCACTGAGTGTTTGAAAAAGGGAAAGTTTCAATGGGGAGAGGAATAAGAGCAAAGTTTCACCCTCATAAAAGAGAAATTATGCACCACTCCTGTCCTAGCACTACCAAGTTTCGACAAACTATTTGAGGTTGAATGTGATGCCAGTGGAATTGGCATAGGGGTTGTGTTGTCACAAGAAAAGAGACTAGTTGCCTTATTTAGTGAAAAGCTATGCGAAGCCAGGAAGAAGTGGTCCACTTATGATAAAGAATTTTCCATGGACTTCGTGTTAGGCTTGCCAAAGACTCCAAGAAATATGGACTCTGTCTTTGTAGTGGTTGATCGGTTCTCCAAGATGGCTCACTTCCTCCCATGCAAGAAGACCGCAGATGCAACAACGACAACTAAGCTATTTTTCAGGGAGATTGTCCGTTTACATGGGGTACCTAAGACCATCACGTCGGACTGAGATACGAGGTTCTTAAGTCACTTTTGGATGACCCTATGGAAACTATTTGACTCATCATTGAATTTCAGCAGTACAGCTCATCCACAAACAGATGGACAGACAGAGGTGGTGAATCGAACCCTAGGTAACTTGATCCGCAGTATCTACAGGGAGAGAACGAAGCAGTGGGATTTTTCCATGGGCACAGGCAGAATTCGCCTACAACAATGCGGTTCATAGCTCTACAGGTAGATCCCCATTTTCAATTGTTTACATGAAGGTACCTAACCATGCGTTAGACTTAGTGAAGCTACCCAGAATACCCGACCTCAGCACTTCTGCAGAGCAGCTGGCAGAACAGATCCAGTCAGTACAGGAAGAAGTACAATAGAAACTTCAAAGGACCAATGTAAAGTATAAGCTTGCAGCTGACAGGCACCGCAGGTACCAGGTGTTTGACGTTGGTGATGAGGTCATGGTGTTCTTAAGGAAGGAACGCATACCCGTAGGGAAGTATAACAAGCTACATCCTCGGATGTACGGTCCATACAAGATCATTAAGAAGATCAACGACAATGCTTACATAGTGGACTTACCAAATCACATGGGTATCTCCAAAACATTTAATGTTTCTGATCTTCATCGTTACTAACCGGAGACAACGCTTGCATATCCCAGTCATGACTCGAGGTCGAGTTATTTCCAAGTGGGGGAGAATGATGGAGGGCCAACTCACCAACCAGGCGACAACTCATAGTTAGAAAGGCACATGCTTCGGATAGTGCCATCTAGCGAAAATCATGCAAAGGATAATAGGATGACTCCATGCATTGGATAACACTGAGAGATGGTGGCTATCGAACGATGGATATCAAGGCAACCTGAGGAAGACTTCGAAGATGTCTAGAAGTCCAGATGTTTTAGTTGTTTTTCTTTTACAATTTTAACTCTCCTAGTAATTCTACAAATCTACCAGTTGTATTATAAATACTGTTGTTCTGAGTTAATAGAAGACACACAAGAGTTTTCTTTAGAAATTCTCTCTACTAAGGCTCTACGCCTAGCCCTTTACGTGAGGCTTCAAGTCTGAAGCTGATTCAATCGTTCGGGTGCTTGCATAGTCAGCCCGGTCAAGTGCGTCACGCTACGTCAAATATGCAACAAAGGGAAAATAAAAAAATTTATTGTTTATTGATATCATTGCATGTTTCCTTTCTCTATTTCCCCCCTACAATAGGAGAAGCAATGAGATCAACGATATCTTTCTATGCAAAATACCTTGAAACAAGGTGTCTCCTCTAGTGAAACGATATCTAGCTTGAACTTTCTAAGCAACCACAATAGAGAGAGCCTCCCATCATGTGATTGAATTTTATGCTTGGTTTGAGTCTGGTCGGGGCTTCTATATTTGGCCAAGGCTATCTATCTTTCAAAGTGCTTGTAGTGCTCCAAAACGATGGAGAAGATAAGATCCCAAATTTGTCTAAATCATCATTTTTGACGCTTGTGTGCTCTTGACTCTTTTTTTATTATATGTTCTACCCCCTTTGTTTTTAAATGAATCGATTTCTCCTATACACTTTGTGCCTTCTTTCGTACCCTTTATTATTCACTACTAAAAAATAGATTAAGTATGAAAACACAATCTAGGATTGTCGAAGCGCACTTATGTCAGGGACTTGAAATGACTGGACTTGCAATATTGGCTAAGTCGAAACGCTGTTGAGCTATATGTTCAAGTTGTCGAACTATCTATCCTTTCAGCTAAGTTGAAATACCACCGAGCTACCAACATTTTCCAAGTTCGGTGGCATAGGGGGCTTTAGGGCTGAAAGCAGCTTAGCTTCCCCTTGTGTATAACTTAGCCGAGGTGCTCATAGCGTAGATTGGCTAAACTAGGTTGCTAGGGCGAGTGGTCTCATTTTTATATTTGGTGAAATTTGTAGTCTGTGCAAACGCAGCTTGAAACTTCTGAACTCTTCATAGATAATATCTCCTTAAGTTGTTGACATTCCACACATAGTGTACCTGCCTCCCCTCCAATGTTTCGAGCTCGTACGCACCCTCACAAATCACCTTTAGAACTCTGCAGGGGCCTTCCTAGTTCGAACCTAGCTTTCCCATGCCAGGCTCAGGTACTAGAACCTTCTTGAGTACTAGGTCGCCAAATCGAAATTGGCATCTCTTAACTCGAGCATTATACTACCGAGCTACTCGTTGATGGTAAGCTGCAGTTTGGATATAGGCTAAGTCACGAACTTCTTCTACCATGTCGAGGTTGGTCCGCGACTCATTCTCATTAGCCTCCTCATCTTACGTCTCAAACTGCAAGGTTGGTACCTCGATCTCAGTTGGGATGGCAACCTCAACCCCGTACATTAGGGTAAAGGGAGTTTCACTAGTCACCGTCTGATTGTAATTCGGTAAGCCTAAAGGACATTGGGCAATAAGTCCATTCACAAGCCCTTAGCTCAGGAGAGCCGAGCTTTGAGTTTGCGGAGTATCGCCTTGTTCTTCACTTCGGCCTGACCGCTCGCTTGAGGGGTGAGCCATTGTAGTAAAATTTTGTTGGATTCCCATCTCGATACACCAATTCTGAAATTTTACGTCTTCAAACTATTCCCATTGTCCAATATCAACACCTTGGGGAGTCTAAAAATGTAGACATTGCTCTTCTAGAAAAGGTTCTACATGTTCCGAGTTGTGATGGATATCAACGGCTCAGCTTCCACACACTTCATAAAGTGGTCAACTGCGATGACCAAGAACCTTCTCTGCTTGGTCGCAGGTGGGAAGGTACTGAGGATATCTATCCCCCACTGTGCAAATGGCCATAAACTGCTAAGGTACCTTAGGTCGGCAGCGGGCTAATGTGATATGTTAGCATGCCGTTGGAACTTTTCGCACTTCTGAACTAATTTTAGTGTGCCCACCTTCATTGCAGACCAATACTAGCCTTGTCGTAGTGCTTTTTGGGTGAGCACCTTGCCCCCAAGTGTCATCCACAGAGATCTTCATGGATTTTTCGTTGCACCTGATTTGCTTTAGTCAAGAGCATGCAGTGCAGGTAGGGGAGTGTGAACGACTTGCGATATAGTTGTTTACCAATGATTACATAGCGACCTGACTGTTGCTCTACCCTCTGAGTTGCATTGTGCTATGCAGGTAGTGTTCCATGGTGTAGGTAGTCAACAAGCGAATCCATCCAACTCGACTCTATAGCCAAAACAGGAGTGACCTCTTCTACCACCCTTTCTATGCTAGGTCGTGACAAGTCTTTAATGTAAACCGCTCTCTTTGTAGTACTTGTTGCACTGGCCAACTTCAAAGAGCGCATTGGCTTCGGTGTTCTCGGACATAGTGGGTTCCCGAGCTTTATACTACCCATTCACTTGTTTCGCACCAACCTCCTTAGCCAATGATATCACAGTTATCAACACCTCATACTCAACTTCATTGTTTGATGTTCAGAACGCGAACTAGAGAACGTACTCTAGCTTGACATCGCTAGGTCCATAGAGGATCAACCCATGCTCCAATTCCACGCTAGTTGGACAAGCCATCCATGTAGAGGATCCAGGGCTCCTCGTCCCAAGTCAAGTCAGGTGCCTCACTAGTTAACGCCTCTAAGGTGGTCACGGGCTCGACAACTTCAGGGGTCGACATGCTGAACATGTAATCGACAACGAAGTCAACCGGGACCTATGCCTTGATCTCTAGGTGTAGATCGAACCGGATGTCATACTCATTGAGCTCGAATTTCCCATTTTGTTAGCCTACTTGAGAGCTTAGGCTTTTGGAGGACTTGCCTCAGGGATTGATCGATTAAGACTACAACGGTATGGACTTGAAAGTAAGGACACAACTTATAGGCTGCTAGCACCAACGAGAAGGCCAGCTTTTCAATGTTTGGGCACGTAGTCTCTGCCGGGTGTATTACGTTACTTACGTAGGAGACAGGTCACTGCACTTTGTCCACCTTGCAGATTAGGACTGATCTGACTACCTCGTTACTCATAGAAAGGTAGAGTTTGAACTCATCCCCAGGTTCCGATCTAGTTAACAAAGGTGCCAAACTGAGATACCTCTTGATCTCATCAAACGCGAGTTGGCACTCTTTAGTCCACTCAAAGTCTTGGTTCTTTTTTATGGCCTTGAAGAACGGAAGGCATTGCCTAGCCGACTTTGACATAAACCGTTTTAGGGTGGCTATCCGACTTGTTAACCTTTGAACTTTTTTAATTGACCTAGGGGGTGTCATATATAGGACGACCTGAATTTTATCCGAGTTGGATTCGATGCTACGTTGGTTCACTATGTACCCGAGGAACTTTCCCAACATGATCCTGAAGACACACTTGTTTTGGTTGAGCTTCATGTTGTATTTTATAAGAATGTTAAAAACACTGTTTAGGTTGAAAATCAAAGAGTACGAAAATTGAGTTTTGATAACCATATCATCAACGTACACTTCAAATTTATTGCCAATTAACTCAAAAAATATTTCATTTACAAGATGCTAGTAGGTCACCCCTATGTTTTTCAAGCCAAAGGGCCATCACTTTATAACAATAAAGGCATGTTTCAGTTACAAATGTCATCTTCTCCTAGTCGGATGGATTCATTTGGATTTGGTTGTAATTAGAATAGGTATTCATGAAGCTCAACAACTTGAACCCCGAGGTTGCATCTACTAGGCAGTCAATCAAAGGGAGTGGGAAGTTGTCATTTGGGTAGACTCGGTTGAGGTCAGTGTAGTCGACGCACATGCGCCACTTGATGTTGGCTTTCTCCATGAGCACTGGGTTGGTAATCTAGCTCGGGTATTGGACCTCTCTAACAAAGTCTACTACGAGGAGTTTCTCTACCTCTTCGTCTACTATCCTCTACCGCTCTTGGGTGAGGTTCCTCTTCCTCTATCGAACTAGTTTAATTAGATGGTCAACATTTAACCTATGAGTTATGACAGAAGGGTCTATGCTAGGCATTTCTACTACCGACTAAGAAAAAACATCTATGTTTTTAATTAAAAAAACTTGCTAGGTTAGAGTGTAGTGGTTTTTTGAGGCAAGCTCTAATCTGTACCATTTTCTTGGGGTCAGTATCTGAGATCAGCACTAGGATAGGGTCCTCTATGAAGCGAGCTTTCTCATCATCGTTCTCCGAAGGTGGCTCCAAGTCAATGTTGATGGCCTGCTTTCCTTTGCCCTTTAGTGCGGCCATGTAGCACTTGCAATACACAAGCTTATCACCTTGCACCACTCTTACTCCATGGTCTATTGAAAACTTCATCGACAAATAGTAGGTCGACACTACCTCTCAGAGGGTGTGCAAGATAGGTCAGTCCAAAATGGCATTGTAGGGCGAGGGGACCATGACCATTGGAAAGTCATGATCGAAGCATACTGAATTCGGTGTCGATCCCGGTACTAGCACTCTCACCCATCTTAGGGGTCGGACCACTTCTCCGCTAAAGTCAACTAGAGGGACGTCGGCCAACTACAGGTCCTTCCACTCAAGCTCCATTCGCTCAAATGCCTCCAAGAAGATGATATCGGTCAAGCTTCTGGAGTCAACCAAAATCCACTTTATTGCGAAGTTGTTTATGACTAACTTGACTATGAGGGCGTCGTCGTGCGGATATTGGATCTTGAAAGTTTCATCCTCGGTGAAGTAAATCACTTCCTCCATATGAGGATGCTTTGATAGGTTCTCATCCTCATGATCGATCTCCCGAATAGAGTTCTTTCTCATTGAGGTGTTGCATCCTATCACTATGGACCCACCCGTGGTCATGTTAATAACGCCACGAACTCTACTAGTGGTGGATCTTGGGGGAGAGGAGAGGCTGGTCCCTACTCGATTGTGGTGCTTTTCTTGGCTGGTCGACAAGTCGGCTTTGGTCCTCTTACTTAATGAACTGTTTCAAGTAACCTTGGCAGTTAACATACTCAATTGTCTTGATCTGCATTATAATTTCTCCCCTCTTCACATTCAACGTGCTATAGTTATGGTATGGTTCTGGACGGGAGGGGTGTGAGAACATTGACTCGAGGATCTACTACTTCTGTTCGGCCACCCGCTTCTTTTTTGCGATGACCTACTGCTCCCAACTCGTTTTCTGACTTCTTCCATTTGCCGCTCAACTCCAATCGGGATCCAAGTGCTTCCTCGGCCTTCATAAACTTGACTGCTTGGTTGAGGAACTCCTCCATAGAGGCAGGAGGGTTCAACTTGACCTACCAGCGCAAGTTAGGATGTTAGACGCCGTTGACCGCTACAGTGAGTCGGATGGTTGGGTCGAGGTTGGGAATTTGAAGTTGCTCCAGGTTGAATGTATTGTTTGTTGTAGTATTGGAGCTTCTCATCAGGTCCCTAGATGACATTGTGTTGGCAGGTTGCAGACTTCGGGCATCGCTTACTTGTGGTGGAGTGCATAGTGAACAGGTCGGCGAACTGGTTCCAACTTTTAATGGAGCCTGAGGCTAGCCTCGAATATCACATCCGAGTTGTGCCTCAGAAGGTGGTTGGGAAGGTCATGAAAAGGCTCACATCATTTGCTCCATGTAGCTGCATCAGGGCTTGGAAGTTGTCAAGGTGGTTTACCAGGTTGGTCATCCCATCATAGGATTCCAGACTAGGGGCCTTGAAGTCTTTTGGTTGTGGGGCCATGAGGATCTCAACAACCAATTGTGAAGTTTGGGACATCAATTGTGCTAACGAGGTGCCGATCTGACTCACCTCATTTTCTACCTCTTTCATTTTTGCCTTCTCGTTGTCATTCGCAACGAGGTGACTCCTTCCTATGTTGTGGTGTGCACATTTGTGACACCTTCTTCGGGACCCTTCAGTCGAGCTAGTGGCTTTGTTCTTGATTGGGGCTGTGGCCCGACTCAATTCCTCAACTGGGACTTAGTTCTAGTCATCGAAGCGACGAGGTGGGTCAAGCACTGAGTTCTGATTCTGGTCGTCGAGCTACTAGTTCTGGTTCTGGCCAGCATTTTCCCCAGTAGCCTAATCTCGCTGGTATTGCTGCCACTATTGTTGTTGTTGGGCAGAGGAAAGTTGGGATTCTGCATGATGGGGACACCTGGTAGGGTTAAGGGCATGGTAAACTGCCCAATCGTCATAGAGGGGATCTCAGGGTGCACTACGGGTTGATCCTACCCCCTATGACCAAGTTGTTGTTGTTAACAGGGTTGTTGACTAGAGTGTTGCTCGAAAATGCCATTGAAGATGTACTTGGAAAGGAAGTGTAAGAGTATGGCTTTTGTGTAGCATTTCCCACAAATGTGCTAATTGATGGTGCACGAACTGATGCTCCCTATTGACATACAACTTGGATGCCAGGTTAAGTAGGTCGCCTTGCTGAGCTGCAAGAAAAAGTTGATTAAAGCGTCCGGGTTGCTTGACCCAAGGTGGGCACTCCCATGCTTAAGTCATCAAACTAATAAGCATTTCCAAGAAAGTAAGAAAACTGGAGCACTTAGAGAGCTAAATCGTGCCTACATTTTTTGTGAATGGAGATTCCTTTATATAGGCTAGCTGCCGTGAGGCTCATGAAGCGCGTCCAAAATCTCTAGCCTATCTGGTTCGGAGGTGGTTCCATGCCCAGAGAGGGACTTTGCGTAAGCAGGTAGTATCTATCCAATTGTGGCCGAAGCAGGCGGGGTGATAAATGGCTCTTCTGACGTGGCATCGTAATCCCAGGGAAGTTGGAGATGATAACTCGCTGAACGAGGAGGTCACCTAGCACGTCAGGCAGGTCGCAAGCTGAACTCGAGCCAAGTCGGTGGAAGCAGGTCACCTCTCAAGCCGACTTGGTGTCTTGCTGGGCCATTCGTAGTTTGGTTTGCCGAGGTCATTAGGCGGGTGCGAGGTGTCTGAGGTGCTCTTGAGGTTTACTTATGTGGTGTTAAGATGTCGTCCAATTGTTTTAAGGTGCCACGTGTCGTCACGTTACTGGAAGGCCAATTCGCCACTCATCACCACCGAAGGGAAGTTGCCATTTGGCACCTTGAATATTTGTTAAACATATATATCAGAAACGGAACCATTTGGCACCTTGAATTAATATTTATTATACATATATATCAGAATAGAATATATGAATAATGGGCAAAGAACACAAGAATCCATATTTCCACACTTCAATTGATTATACATGCGGTCTTTAATGTAGACCGCTCAAAACAATATCAAATGATCAAACAGACCTCCACCCCTTTTCTATACTTATTTTGTCCAAATTCACTTATCATCCTCCACATGAATCTCCTGCAACTTCCAGGAGATAAAAACACTGAAGCCTTGCACGAACAGATCCTTCGTTGTTAGTGCTATTCACATTTTCCCAAACATCTAACAAGGGGGCAAATTCTTTGGCGGAGGAAGAATGGACTGATCGGGCCCTGGTCCATCCTCTACAACGAATGCCATCTTCAAACCCCAACCAGTATGGAGTTCCAAATGACAGTGCATGAACCAAACACCTAGCCAAAAAAAAGTGCATGGATTAATTAACGGTCTGAAAATCCAGTCAATATGGCTTCCTTTCAGCGCATGTTTGTTTGCATGCATAAATGAACATTCTGAACTAAAACTGCTTAAGGTTAAGTAGTCTGTTCGATAAATGCACGTACCTGGGTTATCAGCTCTGAATCTAATAGCAGTCCAACCTCCTGTGGGAACTCCAACTGTATTCCTCTCTGGGGGATCTACCAAGTTAAAATTGGCTGGGTCTTTTGCAGGATCGTAATTCCCAATTCCCGTTCCAACAACAAAGAAATTGTAACCGTGAAGGTGGAAAGGATGGGACTCGACACTGAGAAGATTGGTGTCCTGAAGTACTAATTCCACAGTTGAATTGTAGGCAATCTTACTGAGCCTGGTTCCCAAAGAAGTTCTGAGGTTGGCTGTAAGTGGTGCACCTGTGTAATTGAAAGGAGCGGGAGGACGGTCGGGGAAATCTGTGCTGAACACTCCCTTGATATTGAAATAATGAGCTTGAAGAATCCCAACTTGGGGCAGTACAAAAGTAATGTTGTTCAAAGAAGCAGTCAAGTGTGTTCCATTCACGCAACTGGGGCATGGATTTACTCCCAAACCGATTGTGTAGAAAAGATGCCGATCAACGTTGAGAGGGACATTGGCGGGGAATTGAGGAGTGTTTAAGCTCCTAAGCTTGTGGGTGTAGTTCAATGCGAATGAGGTGTCATTTGGTGCAGGCAAATGAGGAAGAACTGGGAGAAGAGTGTTTGGGATGCCTTTGTATTGCAGTATAGCTGTGACGGTTTTGTTGTCGATGGGAAGTGGGACGTCCATGAAAGGCCTAGCAGCCATAAAGTATCTGCTTGGAACCTGGTTGGCTTGAACGAGAACATTTGTGGTCTGGCCTGGTGCAATTAGTAAGGCCTCAGTGCTGAATGGTTTGGTATAAACTGCATCAATCTCCACCACTGTCATGTTGTGACCAGCTATTGCAAAGAAAAGCTCGTCGTTGAGTGCAGCGTTGATGATTCTCAAGAGATAGGTCTTTCCCTGTTCAACCTCCATTGCAAAGGTATCTATATATCGAGAATACAAATATGAAAACATAAGTAATAAAGGAAGAGGGAGCGATCGATCAAGTAGAATTAATTAATTTTATTTCTTACGTTTCTCAGAACATGGGAAAAGAGGCCCTGGCTTTCCATTGATGGTATGAGCGTCTGATGCTACCGGCGGCAAGCCTAATTTGTTGCCTTGTTTTACTGCCTCTTCGACGTCGGTGTTCCACCATTCTCCTGCACAACAAGAACGTCAGTAAGGTCATGGTAATTAAGGAAGGCACGATCGATGCAGGGTCTTCATTAATTAATTAATTAATTAAGACTGTCGATCGTTACTAACCTAAGAGTAAATTAACTTCGCTGTAAGGCTGTGGGAATGGAAACGGAGTTCCTTCTTTTGGCATGATGACAATAGCACCATAAACAGTAGCCCTTAACCAAAGGATATGTGCATGCCACCATAGAGTTCCTCTTTGACCAGTAACATTGAAATCATAAACGTAGCTGTGCCCCGTTTGGATGGGACACTGTGTTATATAAGCTGGGCCATCCGCCCAACCATTCCGGAACTGCTTCAATCCATGCCTGCAGAAGACAGACCATAAGTCTGTATCCCATTGACATAATAATAATGATCAGCATATATATACATACAAGTCTAGATTATGTAGGTATTTCCTACCAATGAATAGACATGTTATATTGGGCATAGTTGGAAACATTGACGATCACTCGATCGCCTTCCCTTGCATAAATGGTAGGTCCTGGAAACATCCCATTTACAGTTACAATGGGTTTGGCATGGCATAGTCTGCTCACATTCTTCACTTGAACCTGAAAGAAGTAGGAATTAAAACGCAATCAAAGCATAATTCATACAAATAGAACTAAGAGTGAAAATTAACCACTTACATCAAACTGGTACTTCTTCACAGCAGCTTTTGTGGGAAGAGAAATGTAGCCAACAAAGATGAAGAATAGAAAGAGCCATTTGCAGCAGAAAGCGCCTGGTCTCACCATCTTCTAATTATTTTCTGCAATCTTTAGGTCGACCCAAAGTGAGGTGAGTGTGAATGAGATGAATTGAAGGTAATGCTGGCCTACAATGCTTATATATAGGTAATATATATAGGAGGAGGTTAGCTGGTTAGGGTAGGCTATCAGTTTGTTATAAGGAGAAATGAGGGCAGGAGATGTGCAGAGCCGGTTAGGTAAGGGATGTGAAGTGCTTGCACGCCAAAGGTTGGAACCAAATATTGATGGAGACCTTCAAAGGGTATTGAGGTAGATGCTCAGGCTTCAACTTGAAAGAAGAAGCAGGCCGGAAAGCCTGAGATTGAGCATCGACTGCAAAATATATTAATTAGTTATTTGAGCAAGAGAGAGAGAGATACGTAAGGCCAACCTAACACAAAGCTGAGCTTTACCGTTAAGGAAAAGGAACAGTAGATGCAGATTATGCTCCCTATCTTTCTCAAATATAAACAACTTCATTGTTTTTTAATGTTGGAGATGTGCAGTAGAAAATACGGATTTGTTTACAAGAGAATAAAATAAATGGAGTTACTTCTAAGCATTCATGGCGTTGTCTTTGTGTGGATCCATGGCTGTTTTGTTTGTCAAGAATCAAAATTCTTCCTGGCCTCCTGGGTAGAGAGTTCGAATATATGCTGGGGTTTTCTGGTCCTGGTTTGAGTTTGGGATTTATGGAATGGTTTTCTGGCCTTTCTGGGTGTGCCACTGAAACAGTGAAACTCAAACATCTGCTGCCATGGAGATAACAGAATGACACCGGGGAAAAAGACAAAACATAATGACGAAAGTGTCCCTGCTGAGTGCTGACTGACAGCTCGGATTTCCTCCTAACTACTATTTACTCTCCTCTCTACTAATCCAATGAAGCCATGCCACCTGTCCCGCCCACATGTGAGTATTCTAACTTTTGCAACCCTGCTACTTTTTTAATAAAAAACAACTATTTTTAAACAGAAACCTTCAGTACACGATATACTCAAAAGTGTTGTAAAGGGGAATGGCTCCTCCATCCCCCTTTGAAGTGAGAACTATATATTAGGTTGTTAGGGAAATTTGTTCGTATAACATCTTCCCATGTAGGGCCGGGCCTGGGCTTATATTTTTAGGCCTATAATGCGGGCTGGGTCGGGCCTGGGCTTAACTCTTAAGCCCGTTGTTATGAAGGCAAAGTCTGGCCTGGCCCAGCCTATGATCACCCCTATTGGGTCCCCACAAGGAATCCGTTCCTATCTGGAATTGGGGATAGAGGAAAATTTTTAGGGAGATTGACTCAGCTCAGGGTCAGAATTTGTAGGTTTAAAGTACTGTCGAGGTAGGTGCCAGTTCAGTTCACGGGCGGGCGTTGGTGCATAGAGTATGAGTTGTTGACCTTTTGAATGTTTATAGCTCTGCAGTGGAAATAAAAAATCTGCATTGGGCAAATCCGTACTTCTCCAAAATTTTTATCCCCAATAGGATTGGGGTCAGGGACGAAAAATATGATCCCCGCTCCAAATCCATCCCGTTTTTATTTGTACTAGTAAACATGTACGTGCATTTGCACGTAACAATATCTCAAAGACAAAACTATTTACAATTCATTGACAATTTTTAAACAGTTATAAGTGGGTAGTTTCTTATTTGTTATAAGTGAACAATTTTTGAACAATTATAAGTGGACAGTTTCTTAACTGTTATAAATGGACAATTTTTAGAGTGAGAGTAAAGAACATATATGCCCTTTTTTATGCCCGTTATATATTTCTTAGAAAAAGGGAAAAAATGTCTAATAAAAAGTCTAGAAAATGGGACTATTCACTCTTTTATTAATACTTTAGATATAGCTTTAATGCCCACGTCTTAGGTTTAAACAACAACTACTTTTATCTTTTTTCCACTCAAGACACACAGTGAACAACAACCGGTGAATTGGTTTATAACACAAAGAGGAGATAAAGGGGAAGAACTGTCTTTCATTAGTAACTAGGAATATTTATTTTTCAAACATAAAAGTTTGTGCATAAAAATAGTATGAAAAAATTTATGCATAAAAAAATAGGTGTTTTTTTAAATGTCTGTCTTGCTTAATAGTTGCAAAAGTTAAAACACTTATCACATGGGGTAGGGACAAATGGCATGTTTTAATTGGGTTAATAGAGACGAGATTACATATTAGTGAGTAGGAAATCAGAAGTGGCTGAGTGCTATGTATTTTACTTTTAGCAAGTTATAACGATAAGAGGGCCCTCCGGTGTTTATCCACGTGAATTCTTTTTAAGGCTCCATTTGGAAAGAGTACAAATATAAATATGTAGAGCGCAAAATCTTGTATTTTGTATTATTTTATATGTATTTATATTGTATATATTTGTATTTGTTTCCTTCTAAACTGAGCCTTAACGATCTCCTAGTTTTAAGCATGCATGTGTTCAGTGATAGATTCAGAATTTGATTATAATCTCAATCAAACTTCGTTGATGCAAATTGCATATTAGGCTCAGTTTGGAAAGAGTATAAATACAAATATGTACAGTACAAATACATACAAAATAATACAAAATGTAAGGTTTTGCACTCTACATATTTGTATTTGTATTCCTTCCAAACTAAGCCTTAGACTTCATTTGATAACACTTTTTAGAGTCTGGTGTCTGAGAAACTTGCTTTTCAGACATCAAACTCGTATGGTGTTATGTCTGAAAATCGATCTGAAATCTTTTTTGAGAGGTGCGTAAAAGACATAAATGCCCTCAAAGAAAATTTAATATTACATGTTTTGTCCTTTATGTAACTCGAATCGAATCCTCAGTGTGACCTAACGAAGCTCCACCACCGCTGCACTCTCTCTGTCTCTCTGTCTCTCTATCTCTCTATCTCTCTCTCTCTCTCTCTCTCTCTCTCTTTCTCTCCCCTGTATTCCTGCCACCTCCTCAGTGGCAGCGGTTCCTTCTCTCTCTCTCTCTCTCTCTCTCTCTCTCCCCTGTCTTCCTGTCATTGCTGCTGCAAGTGGTAGCGGTGGCGGTGACTTCTCTCTCTTGCTCTCTCTCTCCCCCTGTCACCACCGTTGCAAGTTGCAACGGCGGTGGTTCCTTCTCTCTCTCTCCCCCCTATCTTCCCACCACCGTCATTGCAAGTTGCAGCGGCAGCAGTTCCTTGTCACTCTCTCTCTCTCTCTCTCCCTCCCTCCCTCCCTCCTATCTTCTCGCCACCACAACCACTACTGCAAGTTGCAGTAGTGGTTCAGTGAGTAGAAATAATAATATTATTATTAATTATAAATTATTTTTATTAACTATTCTAATATTTTTATTAAACATTAATAAATTTTTATTTTTTATTAATTATTAATTATTAATTATTAATATTTAATAATTATTTTTTATTAAACATTACTAATTATTAATTATTTTTACTAACTAGTAATTTTTAATTATTTCATTAATTTTTAAAAATTATTTTAATTTTTATTTGTGTAAATTATTAATTATTTTAATATTTTTATAGTCATTAATTATTTTTTTAATTTTAATAATTTTATTTATTAATTATTAATTTATTATTTATTGTTTGTATTGTTTCAATATTATTTTGAGGTTGAAAATTATTTTTTATGAGATAATGTAAATTGAACTCAACATTTACAAATAGTATGTTCTAGGGGTAAAATAGTAAAATAAGTAAACTTATGGATTCAGAGCCTCTAAAAAGTAAGAAAGCATCTATGTCTCTTTTCAGATTTCAGACACTTTTAATATCTTTTTAATTTTTCAAATCTGAATTTTCAGATTTATCAAACACCACCTTAGTAATCTCAATCAAACTTCAGTGATGAAAATTGCATAGTAGGCTCAATTTGGAAGGAGTACAAATACAAATATGTACAATACAAATACATACAAAATACAAGATTTTGCACTCTACACATTTGTATTTGTACTCCTTTCAAATGGAGCCTTAGTATCCTATACCAAGGTTTTAAAAAGCTAAAGGTGGAGGTGAGGCGGTTGTGTCTAATAGGACCGGCGTAAGCCTCAAGGCATTTTGAGGCATAAGTCTTGAGCAAAAAAAGAAAAGGGTATAATATATTCATAAACAATAAAGACACGAAAACCTAAAATTAGGATCTTATACGGTTTGTATGATATACTAGACATGGATTCATGTTTCAAAATATCCATACACCCCAATATGCTGAAAGGGATGTATTGATTATCAATACTTTGAACCATGCATATTTTTTTTTTCAGTTTTTTTATTTTATAAGGTTAGTTTTATATTATCTAATTTTTAAAAAGATTTTAAAAAAATCCTTAAAAAGAGTTATTGGTACCCCAAATATACAATTCTATAGAATGTATATTTTTTTTATCCTAAAGCATGTAAAAGGATATAAATGCCCTTCATATGTCATTTAATTTTCTTTATCAACCAACTTGTCATGTTTCGGTGGCAGCAGCACTCCACCACCACCACCTCCAGCCATGATTTCTCCTCCTCCTCCTCCTCCTCCTCTTCTTCTTCTTCTTCTTCTTCTTCTTCAAGAAATAACAAGCAATCAGCCTCCATAGACTTGACCAAGGATTATCCAGATAAGGTGCAAAAAACAAGGTGTTGACATTTTCAACACGTGGATAAATAACTTATCCACCCTACAGAAGAGGTATTGATTACCTGGATAACCATTATAATGGTAGTTAAATACAAGATTATTGTATTTCCATAGGACCCACCTACTTACCCCCATTTTGATTAGAAATGAACGAGGGATACGTAGGAATCTAAACTATCTCTCATTGTATGATGTATAATAGTCTTTGAAAATCCCCACAATACTCATTTAAATGTCAACTATCTATGTTTAGTCGGTTTTTTTTTCAGCCCCCTCAAAGAAAAAATCCTAACTCTGCCCCTGTGATTAGATCCAAACCCAAATCACATCCGATTACAGCACTAGGGGCTTATAGCGCTTATGGGGCGCAGGACTAGGAGCCTGGCCTAGGAGTGGTGGGTCAGCAATGCGAAATTTGGTTGTTCAACCCGTCATTAAGTCAACTTGACAAGTAGAACCTTCAATCCTGTTAATTGGTTTTCAAGCCAATTTACCTTCTACACTGTAAACACATTGATTTTTACAATAATAAGGGATGTTTGGAACCATAGCCGTTTTTTTTAAATAACGGTATCATGTCAGATTCATATAGGCGTTTCAACAAACGCCCATGTATCTCATTATTTGATTCAGCCAATTATTAAAAAATCAGGCAGGCTAAAAAATGGGATCCACGCCTATTATCTCATTGTTTGGTTCAGTCGATTATTAAAAAATCAGACATACCTCAGAAATCAGGACTCCACCGATGTGCATCAGTGAACCGGCATAAAAACAAACAACCTTATGCTACTTTTATGATTTACACAGATATCAAGGTAAGTATTAACTTTATGTCAATAAAAGGTCAAGGACCTAACATTCTATACCATTGCTCAATGGGAAAATGTGCATAAGAGAAGCCCCTCCCCATAAAACTACTACCTGCACATTGAATTACTAGTCTAATGTTTTTTAGAGCCTGGATTATGACCCTGATTGCATCACCTAATATTGATTTTTAATTTGAACTTTATGGTAATAGAATGTCACTGAATAGATGGAAAGAATGGTGAAACAGGATAATTGGGACAAATGCTCATATGATGATGATGAAAAAGGTAAAATAATGGAGATCAAATCAGCCCTCCACAGAATTGCCCTCTACAACGTCCCACAGCACATCCTCTTCGTGTATTGGGAATATCTCTCGATGATAATATTAAAAATGATGATATCATCATCAGAAGAGTTTCTATACACAGAGGGGATGTGCTGTAGGATCTTGTGAGGGGATGATTTGAACTGATCAAAATAATGCATACAAACAGGCAAACAACAAGTTCACCATTATTATATTTCATACAGCTGTAAGCTGTTACTGTGGAAAGATATATAATATACAGCCACATATATGTAAATAAGTCGGAGGACTGATCTCGACTGTCTAAGCAGAGATCAAGGAAATCAAACAAAAAAAAATTATTAAAATAAATTAAATAGACATCATATATATATATATAAATATATATATATCCATATAAGAAGAGAATAATTAATATATAGCATGAAATTAATAAATAAATGAAAGCTGTAGCTAGATCTCTACTTGTTATTTGCATTTACACTCTGAGAAATGACGAGAGAGGTCCTGTTGTAACGTTTTGGTAAAGGCCTAAGCCAACCTCGGCCACCGATCATGTCTTTGGTGAGAAAGGGTGCGGCTTCTGCGTCTGAGAGGTTGCGCGACCATCCAACTCTTCCTGATATATTGGCCCCTGCTCCGTAGCACTTGTGTTGCCCATAATACACAGTACTGTCGACACACCAAACACGAGAATTTGTTAAGACTATAATATTTAAATCTTCTCGACCCAATCCAATCAAAATCTGGGTCAATGCGATCAGATTGTGGCATCAGAGGAGATATATGTATACCTTTGTTTGGTTGGGTCGCCCCAGTCATCCCATCCCTGAGGCAGTATCACACTTGACATGTATGTTAGAGCAAACACCACCCTAGAGTAAGCACCCCATGGCCTACCTAAGACAGAAGTTCCGACGCCCGTGATCTTGCCACCCAAGAAAGTGAAACCAGTGTTTTCGGCCGGTGACTCTCTGCGTTGTGCTGTGATAGCACCACTTCCCTCCGCAAGCGAATGCAGATGGCATTTCTACAAACAAACAAATAAGGGATGATAGAAATAATTAAGCAATATAATTAATGGAATTGATAAGTTTTACAGAAGTACAATAATCAAAGGGTCACAAATGCAATACTTCAAAGAGAGAGGCAGCGTTTCCACATATGAAGTCGGTTTGGCCTTGGATATAGCAGTTGCTGTAATAGTGTCTCCCTGTGTCATCGAGAAGGGTATCTTGATAAGAGAGTATCCTGCACCCATAGAATGCTGCTCGGTCCGCTGACACCCTCAATGCCACTGCTTGGCTTCCTGGACCATGTGTATTCTGCAAATAACTAGTAAATCATCAACTTCCCTATATGGACATAAATCTATCAACTTTGGGTTTGGGTAAATCGATATATAGATGGTATTTTCCATCCATTAAGATAGAAGAAAAGGAAATGAGTTTTTAAAGGCAATTACTTAAAATTCTCTCGTCTGAGAGTAGGGCTTAATTGCTGTAACGGTTGGATTGTTCCTTGCGACCTGGGTGACCATGATTCAAATCTTGGAAACATCCTTTCTATATGTGCACGGGTAAGGCTGCATAGCATACCCAGATCATGCATGGGGAAGCTTATGGGCTGCTCCTTTTTTAATTACTTAAAGCTAAGTTCTCTAACCTAAACTCCATTGTTCTATTACCTTCCTCACCTTTAAGTAATTTAGCCTTCTACCTGAAGTTGTATTTGGTACTATTGTTGTTTCTAAAGCCTTGTAGATTCACATCGCATATAAGTCACTTCAATTAGAAAAATTAATTCATGTGTGTGGAAATAGAAACAACAATATTGTATCGATCAAACATACAACCTTTCGATCTATTACAAAAAAAACAAAACTTTTCAGGTAAAAAATATCTCTCCCCCAAATTTATATTGGTCAACCCAAAAGTGAAAACATTTTATGTAGAAACTAGAAACAGGAATGGTACCAAACACAACCTGAATCTGGTTTCATAAACATGCCAATTAACTTTCACAATTTAAAAGTAATCTTATTAAATTTTAAAATAAGGATATAATTACTCTTTCCCAACACTACCTTGTCAATTTAGCATGATAACTAAAACCTATAGAACACACATCAAACATGCAATCTCTAATTTCGAAACTGATATTTATGGAAGGTCTAATACCGCCATGAACTAAGCTTCTTTTAGATGAAGTTATTGAAAACCATGAACCAAGCAAACAGCCGAATCAGGTAATTACTATGCGAACGGGATTTCCTGGGTCTGAAATTAAGGAGAATGATTTTGGTGACCTATGGTGGGATGAAAATGTCACAATTATAATTACAGTACTTCTGGTTATTTCTATTTCTTATATAGTGAGAGGATCTTGTTCCCAATTCAACCCATTTAATTGAATTGTAGGAATTGTGTTAATATTAACAATTACAGATATAAAGCTAAGCAGATGATGAATAGAGATGAGAAATATCCTTCATCTTTTCTTTTGGAATAAAGTCACGATGAAAGCTTTTTTTTTTTTTTACAAGGCCCCTTGGGGCAAATTCATTCATCAACAAATTGGGTTTACATTTCTTGTGCAATAGTATTGAGGAGGAAATTAGGTACTTGAGACCAAGTTTTAACTTTTATACAAATAATAGCAAATTTAACCAATTTATATGCAGCCATGTTAGTTCTTCTAGGAATGTGATAAACCGAGTAACTTGAGAAGCAACGTACCAGTTGTTTGCAGTAAACTAAGACGCTAATAGACCACGGTGGATCCAACGAATCTATCAACAAACATCTTCTAGGAAACTCTGGCTTTGGTGGAGGGTTTGAAAGGTTTTAGGTGTTTAATATGACTATGTACATCTATTTACCACTTAATAAGACGGTGGCGAAGTTCAAGTTATGCTTCTTTCCTTAATTCTATTTGTCTATTATGAAAGCAAGTGCGTGCAAAGACTGGATTAACAGTTATAAAAATCATTAAACAAACCCTGCAAAATCTTGATCAAAGTAATTAACTATTGTATTGTTAATTGTTACAATTATAAGAAATTAAGTGCACACACGAGTTGCAGAGGATACCTGAATTGTGAGATATCGTCCCACGAAATCAGAAGCCAACACAGAGACTGTCGGAGTCTGGAATATCTCCCCACTCTCATTCCATGTTACTATAGTGGTAGTCGGATTTGAACCACTCAATGTTATGTAGGGTTTATCGGCTGGCACCACAATCTTTTCTCTATAAGTAAACATAAAATAATAAGATCAGAGGTGGTATACAAGAGAGAGAGAGGGAGAGAGAGAGAAACCTGTAAGTTCCTGGCTTGACCCAGATAAAGACGACGTTAGAGTTGTTAGATGGCACAGCGTCAATGGCATCTTGTATCTTCTTAAAATCTCCGTTTCCCGATTGATCTACCCTTATGAGAAGGGCAGTGGACATATCAGAGGGGCTAGCAGCACTGGAGGTCGCTATGAAAGAACCAACAGCTATGGCAACAAAGAGAAGAGCATCTAAATGATTCGCCATTGTTGCAACACCCATGTGTATTTGTACTCTATTTTCCTTTTTTTTTTTCGTGTGTGTCTCGATAGAGGTGAAGAGAACAGAATCAACTTTTTCAGATTGATAGAACAATTGAAGGAAAGGTACAAAAGAAGCACTGAGAACGAGGATGAAAGCCTATTATAAGGCCATCCTTCTTGAATGTCAAACAACATAAAGCCGTTTTCTTTCAGTTGAAGTTGAAATATGTAAATTCAGATCTCAACGTAACCATGTATAAGCCGGTAAGTCACTTACTGCATACTTTAACTACTTTGAATTGAATTGCTTTTATATATATATATATATATGATCAAGCATGTAATAGCTAGCCTCGGCCTATTGGGAACCCAAGCCGTTTGATTTGGAAGAAATTGACATCACAAAGTAGTAAGCATCATAAGGAGGGGGGTTGTTTTTAGATGCTGAACTGTCATGACTAGCTAGCTAGCTAGGTCTCAGCTGGTTCATAGTTTGATTAGTTCAACAAAGGAGGCAATTTTATTCAGTATCTGAAGGTAATAATTAAGGGAATATTTCTAGATAATCCAGACGTGGCAGTGGCACTTTTATCAATATCAACGTTTACCTCTCTAAGATACACGGTTTAACGTCTACCCCTCAACCAACTTAATTACAACGATAGTCGAGTAAAATGTACAAAACTAATAAAACCCAAGAAATTGATCTCTCAAGAAATTAAGATGGAGAATTTCAATGGAAGAAATAATATTTTATAAAACTGTGATTCAAAGGCATGTTAGTTATAGTATATATACAAGTTATAAGGCATAAAATTAGGTCCTAATAGTGATCACCTACCTAATTATAAAGAATATCACTAGGTCGAAGATACAAATTACACCTTCCTATTAATACACCTTCTTATTATTCCCCCTCAAGTTGGAGCATGAGGATCCGAAATGCCCAATTTGCAAAGAAGAAACTGAAATTGGCATTTGCTAAGGCCTTTAGTAAATAAATCTGCTAACTGTAAATGTGATGGAAGATAACGTGGTAAGAATTCTCCAGAAAGCAGCCTTTCACGTACAAAGTGACAATCCACTTTAATATGTTTAGTCCTTTCATGGAAGACAGGATTGTTTGCAATATGTAATGCCACATTATTGTCATAGAAAATACTAGTAGCTCCCAATTGCGGCACTAATAATTCACTTAATAACCTCCGTAGTCACATCACTTCACTAGCAGCCACAGCCATGGTTCTATATTCCGCTTCTGCCGAGGATCTAGACACTGTGGATTGTTTCTTACTCCTCCAAAGTATAGGGGAGAAACCAAGCTAGAAGTACAACCCAGTTACAGATTTTCTGGTTAAAGGGCAACTTGCCCAATCTGCATCACAATATCCTTGCAATACCATATCATTCTCACCACTTAGCAGTATACCTTGCCCTGTACATCCTTTAAGATATTTCAGAACACACACAAGGCTGTCCCAATGCTCAACTCGGGATTGCTGGATGAATTGACTAAGCACATGCGCAGCATAAGTGATGTCGGGTCTCGTGATTGTCAAGTATAACAGTCGCCCCACTAACCTTCGATACTGATTTGGATCAGAATGAAAACTGCCATTGACGTGCCCCAAACGATGATTTTGCTCAATTGGGGTGTCTACGGGTTTGCACCCAGTCAGTCCAGTTTCTTTCAAAATGTCCAAAACAAACTTGCATTGATTAAAAAACAGACTAGCAGTAGATCGAGCCACTTCTATTCCAAGGAAATATTTCAAATTTCCTAAGTCCTTTATCTTGAAACAACTATCAAGATACGCCTTGAATTTTTCACACGCTTTTGAATTGTTCCCAGCTACTATAATATCATCAACGTACACCAAGAGACCAAGAAAGATGTCTCATTTTCTGTATATGAAAAGAGTACTCTCCGTAGTGGATTGCTTGAAACCATACTCACACAAGGATGCTGCCAACTTTGCGAACCAGTTTCTAGAGGCTTGTTTTAGGCCGTACAAAGACTTTTGTAACTTGCATAATGCATTTGGTTTCTCGGAACTAAAACCCGGTGGGAGCTTCATGTAAATTTCTTCTTTGAGATCGCCATGTAAAAAGGCATTATTCATGTCCATTTGATGAAGTTCCCATCCTTTTGCCACTACCACTACCAGAAAGACACAAACAGATACATGCTTTGTTATTAGAGTGAAAGTCTCTGTATAATCCTCTCCCCATTTTTGAGTAAAGCCTTGCATAACTAATATGGCCTTGAAACGTTCAATACTCCCATCCGATTTGTACTTAATTCTGTAGACCCATTTGCATCCGACCACTTTCTTTCCCCGGGGCAAACTCACAAATTTCCATGTTTTATTTTCTTCCAATGCCTTAATCTCTTTGTCCGTCGCCTTAATCTCTTTGTCTGTCGCCTTAATCCATCGTTCGTCCTTGACAGCCTATGCATAACTGGTTGGTTCATCATGAGAATCGATGGCCGCTAAGAAAGCTTTATGAGTTGAACTAAACTTACTATAGCAAATATAGTGTGTTAAAGGATGGGCCTTACCTGCGGGCGCTTTTCGAACTGAGTTCACGTTGGATGGCGGTAACAACGCGTCACACACATAGTCTCTTAAGTACCCAGGGGGTTTTCTTTCCTGTTGAGGTCACTTTTGTTGCAAAATATATTGTTCACTTTCATCTCTTTGTGGCGTACTTACTGCAGCTTGGTCAGACGTATCTGCTCCTCGTTGCTCACCCGAACTTATTTCTACATCACCTGTGTGGACGCTTTCTTCATTTGCGCCCATATGTTGGTTGCCATTAATCCCAACAAGACTTCTCTCATTCCTAAACGGCTCGATTTCATCTTCCACAATCACATGCTCCCCCTCACTCGGAAGCTGTTCCACTCTAAGTGCCTCATTATTGCTAAAAGGAAAGACTTCTTCATAAAAATATACATCTAGGGACACAAAAGTATCTCCCTTTTCTAAACTGTACATTTTCCATCCTTCTTCCCATACGAAAATCCAATGAAAATACACTTCTCGGCACGCTCTCCAAACTTATCATTTCTAATACCTTGCCTTTTGGCATACGCAAGGCACCCAAATACTTTAATGTGAGAGTATTTGGGTGTTTTTCCAAACAAGACTTCAATTGGTTTTCGGCCTCCTAGCACACTGCATGGTGTGTAGTTAATGAGATGAGCTGCTACCATGACACACTCTCCCCAAAATTTTAAAGGTAGACTAGCCTGGAAATGCAATGCTCTTGCCACATTGAGGATGTGTTGGTGCTTCCTTTCTACTCTCCCATTTTTTTTGCGGTGTCCCAACACAAGAAGTTTGATGGATAATTCCCTGACTGAGAAAAAATTCATTGAGAGTCCCCAAAAATTCTGTTCCATTGTCACTACGAACCACCTTGATATCAACCCCAAATTGTCTCCTAACCATAACACAAAAAGATATGAAAATTTTTTAAGTTTCTAATTTATCATGCAAAAGATACACCCACGTAGTACGTGTAAAATCATCCATGATAGTTAAGAAATAATGAACTTCTGAAAAAGATGGAGTGTGATACCGGCCTCATAGATCACAATGTACTAATTCAAATGCACGAGAAGCTTTATTGTCACTTAAAGGAAAATAAATTTGTGTATGCTTTGCACGATGACATACATCACAACACTCAACACCATTACTACTACAACTGAAACCACACACTCCAGATAAATACGATAATTTTTTGTCAGAAGGGTGTCCTAGACGTTTGTGCCACAGCTTCTCTTTACTCTTCTTGACAGCCATCACATGAGCACTATGTGTGTTTCGCAAATAGTATAGGCCATCATTGAGATCACCCAGTCCAATCAACGTCCGCTGGGTGGGGTCCTGTATCACACAAACATTCAAATAGTAAGTAATAGCACAACACATATCTTCACTTAACTTTCTTGAGGATATCAGATTACATTTAAAATCCGGAACATAAAGAACATCTTTTAACTTGATATGTTTGTTAACCATGATATCCCCTATTTTATTTACTTTCAAAGAATCTCCATTTGGGATGACAACTCTTTCATCCTTTCCAACTTTTCGAACATTCTCAAATGCTTTAAGGTTACTAGAAACATGGTGCGACGCACCACTGTACAATTTGACAAGTGGACCAAGGAAAATTTCTTACCAGACAGTGCATCATGGATCATGTTTTCTGAATCACCTGTACCTAGCAGTGACATTAAACGGTCAAGTTGAGCTTGTGTGAGAGATGACATTGCTCGATGCTCCCACTTCTTTAGTAATGGCACCTGCTTGGCCTGGATTGCATTGGTCGTCGTTCCTCTGCCTCTGCGATTTCCGTTGCCTCATCCTCGACCACGACCTGCTTTACCTCCATTTCGGTTTTTCCAATGTTCCGGGTACCCAATGATCTCGAAACAACGAGATTTGTCGTGTCCAGGTCTTTTGCAATGACCACAGATCATGAGTAGGTTAGCAGAATCTTGTCCTTCTCCCACCTGACTCCTTTGATCTAATTTTCTTTGGCTTGCAAATGCAACAGCTTGCATCCTTGGATCTTCGCGTTGCCTCGCTTTCAATTGCAATTCCTCTCTTAATATCATAGCAAAACAGCGGGTGAGTATAGGCAGTGGATCCATACTTATAATATTTGATCTGACAGTACCGTATCGATCATCAAGACCCATCAAAAATTTATAAAATTTTTCATTCTCCCTTTCTTCCAGCATATGGATCAACGTTCTACACGTCGATCCACACACACAAGTGTCGGTTTTAGTATACTGGTCCAGCTGATCCCAAATTCCCTTCACAAGGGTCAATCTGTGACACTTAATGACCCTTGCCTTAATTCATTTAATTCCCCTTTCAACTGGTATATTCGGGGACCATGCCCCTGATGATATCTCTGTTGAAGTTCAGTCCACAACTCCCTAGCATCTTCAAAAGAAACTATAGTATTTTGTATGCTTTTATCAACACAATTAAAGATCCATGAAACAACCATAGCATTGCATTTATCCCAAGCATTCTTGTCACTATCATCAGCCTTAGTTTTGTCCAGAGTCCCATCAATAAAGCTCA